ACAATAGCGTTGTCTGGAGGAGCCAGCTGTAGCACGTGTACCCGTCGGTAGCTCCGCCCCCTGAGCATTCCCGCGCGAAACACTACCCTGTGTATGTACGGTAATGTCTGTCTCTGCATGTGTCAAACATGTCGGAATCCAAGTCAGCGTCCCCCGTTCCAACCCGTACAGGATCGCTGCATGTAGCTCTCTAACTGTGACCCAATCATGGTAAACTGCGTCAAACATCAGATCTGACAGATGACTTAACTTATCTTCCACCACACGGGACACTTTACGAGTATGAGACTCGATCTAGTTTTTTTTTTACATAACCGTGGACGAAGATTGGTAAATCAATTCATCATAAGTCACGCCACAGCATTTTCCGTGGCCAGGGAAATGAACCCTTTCTTGAGGCCATTCTTGTGGAACTTCTGGTGGCTCACGGAAGGCCCTTGTGCGTGGATCCTGGTTCTGGTCCGCCCGGCCCGGGGACTGGTAGGTATTCTTGACTGGTACGGACCTGGGCCGGGGCGTGGGTACGTCTTCCGACTCATCAGAAGTTGCTTGCGATATTACTTCTCGCGCTATCTCTGATTTGAGGGCCGAAATAAAACTTAACATTGAATCTAATTCCAAAAAAGCGGGCAATTTTTCCCATTTTTTCTTGTGTATGTCTAACCAGTTTCTGACAATACCTGTTCATGACCCCACCCTGTATTCGCTTTGTCCTTGAAGATTCTATGGAAGATTCTTGTATCCAGTAGTTAGGACATCTCTCCTGGTTGAGTTGGAACTTGCTGGCATCATCAACGTTCCCGTCCGTGAAGTTGGTAATGTCCAAGCTGCGGTCTTCATGACCATGGGCATGGCCAGTAGGAGTTGCGACTTACAAATAGTAATCATTTCCACCTCGGGGTAAAGGGGGAGGGGGGCAAAACTTTTCTTGTTCGTCATTCTTCTGCTTGCAAATAGTCGTAACCCCAATTCTGAGAGCTAAACACGATTTAGTAATGACTAACTTACACTGTACTAGATTTCAGCCTCCTTGTTAGGTCTCTGATAAATTGGTCCCTCAGACTTGCATAGGGTATGAATTGAACAGGTAGAGCATATGGCTTCCTCTTCCTCTCCTCATCTGACAACATGATCACTAAGACATGGCTGGCAGCAGGTTGTCTTCTCTTTTTGAAAACGCTTGAGGTGTACTTGAGAAGGTCAGATTTATTGCTTTTGTGTCTGGAGATGACTGTTTCAGGTAGGGGGTTTGTGGATTCAACAAGGTTATGATGTCCTTATACGATTGTGTGAAATGGGTTGCCTGTTCGATGAGGGTACTCAGCTCCACAATTTCCCAGCTCAGTTCCCTGAGCGTCTCTTCCTCTATGGCATCCGCGATGTTCTTAAAGTGAGAAACACCCGCTGGAAAGTCCATTCTTTCGCACAACTGCCTGCACAATTGAATGACAGAAAGTGCATGTCAGTCAACTTTGGAATCAATATGACATAATAGAGATTAAGTATGTTTACATTTGAAGAACAAAGGTGGTAATAGATACATAGACCATGTTCATATGTTACCATCAACATGAAGTGTAAGCGCAGCGCCACGAATCTCCCTGTTTTACTCAACTCCGTGGCCCGCTCCAGACAGAGTTAGGAATAGCAAAGAATTTACAGGCCTACATTGGATATCCGGTCAGATGCACATGACACGAAGCAGAGTTGAATTTTTGATGGTTTAATCTAGTAATGTTAGTAGCAGATACAAGTACCGCCTGTTGTTTACTGCAAGTCCCGGAATGCTCTTGATGTGGGTGTCCGATAACAATAGTCCGATGTACAGCCAAGTAAATCCTCCAAGTAGTGCCTCCAAGTAGTGCCAAGTAGTGCCGTAAAAACTGGTTGATCCTCCTAAACTCTTCTGGCATAAAACTTCTTCAACTTCTCCTTTTGAGAATCCTGATTCTTCCGTCTTAGGAAGCCTATTTTCTTCCGTCTTGGAAGCCTGATTTCTTCCGCCTTGGAAGCCTGGTTTCTTCCACTCTGGAAGCCTGGTTTCTTCCACTCTGGAAGCCTGTTCTTCTCTTCTAGCTAGAGAAGCCTATTTCTTCCTCTCTGGAAGCTTGATTTCTTCCTCTCTGGAAGCCTGTTTGCCTTATGGTCCTTTTGTCTTACTATAATATGACTAATTCCTGGGTATCACTGAGAGCCGGGTGAGTTGGGTCCCTTTTTATACTACCAATCACATGACCCAGTTTTGGCGGGAACTTGCACGTACCTTCTTAACTTGCTAAACTAAGGGCGGCAAATACGAAATTGGAAGTTGGCATTTACATGAAGTATACACTGTGTACTGTTTGGGATTTATAACTTCACATCCTACAGGTACGAAATTGGACCCTGCAAATTTACAATAACATAATTTATAACATATACTCACAAGACAAGCTTTATCCAATAGTACTTGAACTCCTTCAGAGTTACAAGTTGTCCTCTGGCTGTGTGGTGAAGGATGCTGAAGAAGCACTCTACATCATCTGTTGTTCCGGCCCTCGGATGTTCTACAAAGCCTAAGGCGTCATTTTGGAGACGGCGTACTTATTTGCTGTCTATGTTGCTCGTGATCCCAACGACAGTCTCCCGACTGAAACCGCAAAGTCCATCCACACGCCTGGAGCACAGGCAATAAGATCCAAACCTTAGGCATGTAATGCACATCTATAGGCATGGTTGGAAAATTTCCAACACTAAAATTTTCTACAGAAAAAATAGGATATACAAATGTACATGCTGATACATCACTTATACAAAATGCATTAGATTACAAAATCAGCAAAGATCTTATCAAACATACTGGTAGACGATAAACATATTGTTCACAAGTCCAGACACAAGACAATACCCATATAAGAATATGCAAATAACTACATACGGCAGATTGAATGGAATTTTAAAAAAAAGACAACAAAAAAGTACCTGTTGATGTCAATCTTAGACAGATCTGGTTCTTCCTTGTTCCAGGGCATCCATCTGTCAAGGATGTACCGACGCATGGCCTGGTTTGCCGCTTTCCTCTGTTGTTGAGACAGACCGCGACCATCCGAGGCTTCATGCCAGTTGGCAATTACTCTAACATATTCTGCTTCTGCCTCGTATCATTTGTTCTGGAAGAACCGCCAGACACAGTGTGAGAGCAGTCTCTCTGCATCAGACACAGATTGTTTCCTCACACCAACAAGGGCAGCATAAGTTAGATCAGTGTCCTTGCTTCGCATGGCTTCTTCAAAACGCCGGACATTTATCTCTTCATGGCCACCATCTCTTGTATGCTTTGCCAGTCTTTTCATGATGTGGTTGTGGTCCTCCCTCTCATGGTGCTCCTTAAGGGTGATGGGGTCCACTTCTGGCACGTAGAGATACTTACTAAAGTCCGTCCTCTCTCCTTTCAGCTCCTCTACCCTCTCGCGTAACTTGTAAGTTGCTAGGATAGATCGGAGCATGTCCAGCTCCGTCTCTGGGATATGGGCCCGCCACGGGTGGTAGGTGTAGCCATCCGGGATGAGGTCTTTACGGATGTGATGCAGGGCATCTTCAAAAGACAAGCCATCCTCCTCTTGAAGCAAGTGGAGCTTTTGTCTTACATCCTCCGGGACACACGTGCGCCTTGCTTCATCATTGTTGACATTGCCTATGTCAAGAAAAAAGGAAGAACAGCAACAACTTAATTTGGTACATAATACCTTTGTTTAAGACATTGAAATTTTAGCACATAGCGTTCTAACTTCAATTACTGGGTCTGTTGTTTCTGCTGGATAATCTTCCAATGTTTGATGTGTTTCTATTTGGAACATACTGAATTTTAACAAGGCATCAAGAGATGACAGTTTGTTGTAAACTTACCATCAATCTGCATCATCCTCTTCAATGTAGTCTTACTCATCTTCGACACACTTTCTCTGGCGTCATGTATGACTTGCCAGAGATGGAGTGGTCTGGTTTCGCCTTGTGTCCTAAGTGTACTGAACTCCCCATCAGTGACAGTTCCTAATTGGCAGAACACATGATATAAAGATTAGTTAAAAGCTGTTCCTAAAGGGTGTCAACATAAGGTTCATAATAAATGGACTAAAAGGCTAAAATCTTCCAAGGCATATGATCACAACTTTTTTATTGTCTAAACCTTCTTGGACATCAAACTAACAGTCAATAACATGTAGTAATATGAAACAATGGAACACTTACCAACAGCAGTGAGCCCATAGAAGTTCATCCTCTCCTTCAGGGTCTTTGTCAGGTCCCTGATGTATTGATCCCTCAGGCTGTTGTAGGGGATGTATTGCACTGGTAATGCGTAAGGTTCGTTCTTTCTCTCCTCGTCTGAGAGCATTACAACAAGTACATGTGTGGCTGCGGGTTGTCGTTTCTTCTTGTAATAAGTTAGAAGTATATGTTTGAATGGCTGCTTTGTTCCTTTTGTGTATTGAG